CTTTAAATCAAAAATCTTTGTATATCTTACTATTAATGTAACACAATTCTCATTCATTTGACTACAATTATTTGAACATGCTTTTACCTCAAATCATTCATACTTAAAAGACACAACCACATAATGGCATTCATTAGCTATTTCAAAAAAATCCTCCAATAACATTACACCTTTATAACATCTTTTAACTAAAAGTCAATTAATAAAGTTTCTAAACCTCCCCCCCCCCTTTAATAGTTCTCTACTTCAATCACTAGACCTACCAAACATTTTTATATAAGGGCTTATAGCTTTCCATTTAACTTCCCAGATTTCCATTTTTTAAATTAACAGGATGTTCATAACATCAAATTGAGCTTCTAAGTCATCCAGGTTGCAGCGAAACATCTTCAATGAAAAACCAGAAAGTCCTGTTGCCTCTTGAAAAAGCATCTTTGGGACAACCACGACCTGGATGACTGAGAAGCTCCACAGAGACCTCAATTTGATGTTATGAACAAACAAATTGATTACTGGGAACAAATTGATTACTGGGGACAAACAAATTACTTGATTACTTGTTTACTGGGACAAACAAATTGATTACTGGGAATCAAAGGAAAAGTCTCTAATCAGGATATCTACTGACATCACGATATCCATCATCTGTGGATATCATCCATGGACAACATTTTGTATAGTTATGAATTCTGCAGCATCCCCATGTTCACAAGATTTACATTCAGATGCTTGACAACTGACTCACATTTATGACGGTTTGTAGTGCGGGGTAATGTGATCACCTTTTGCGACCTTCTGACAAGCAAAGTCAATGGGGAAGCCAGATTCACTTAACAACCATGTTACTAATTGTCAGTGTATAAGAACTTATAAACTGGAATAGCCATAACAACAGGTTACTGTTGTGGGAACTGTTTGGTGACTGAGACATAGGATTTGTTTTGAGCCATGTGAGATGACTTGGAACCTGGGTGTGGCTTAGCTTAACTGTTCTGTGTATATAAGAGATCGTTTGTACTTGCACGATTCTGGTTCTGGTTCTGGATTCCTTGCTTTTTGTCCTTGTCACATCTTCTCTCTACCATGTTGCAAGAGCTGCATGGGTATTGTATACTTGCATCATGCTTTATATTATTGTATATAAATAAGTTTCTTCTATTAAGGAATCCAGCTGAATTATGTGTGCTAGCTGGATTGCTACAAACTCCCAACAACTGCATTACTAATTTAACAACTGCAGTAATTCATTTACATGGCAAGAAAGGTGGTAAAATGGGGCAAAACCCATTTAACAAATTTCTCACCTAGCAACCTAAATTTTGGGCTCAATTGTGGTTGTAAGGTGATGACTACCTGTACTTGGGAGGGAAATTTTAAATGTTACTGAAGGTTAGGAAAATAACACATCCTAACAGTAAGAGCAATTCTTTGATGGAACCCATTAGCTAGTTTGTCAACTTTAGCAACTTGAAACTATGTGAATTTCAACTCTCAGAATTCTCCAGCCAGTCTAAATGTCCATTTTTAGCTTCAATTGTCTTATTTAATTTCTAAAAGGGTTGAGAGGCTCCCCTTTGCTATTTTCAAGCAGAATGGAGACACCTACATATTGGTTGTGCTTTAATCTGGATTTCTACCTTACACAGGCCCCAACTTTACCTTGCAGGGATAAAATTGTTATTGTTACCTTTGCATGGAGGCCTTTCTTCAAAACTGCAAGATCAATAAAATGTGAGGGTCCTATAGGAAGAAAAAAAAATCACAGTTATTCTAAAATAAATTATTCTGAAATATGCCTACAGAGTTCTCTCGCTCCTTGTTCACTCTGAAGTGAAATAGGAAACAATACTATAAATGCTGCCACAAGCGGGCTCAACTGTGGTCGTAAATCGAGGACTGCCTATATGTATGAATATACACGTGCATGCATATACGTGAGCATATACATTCGCACGTGCGTGCACACACACACACATTAAGATAATAGAATTAATCTTTTAATCTTCCGATTTACTCTGCTGATCGCCCCGATTTGCAACTGCATGCGTTGCCTATATAATAATAGCAGAAAAAGCTGGGGGAGGGGGGAGAGACCCTTCTGTTTACATCCCCGGCCCCCCAAAACAGATTTCGCTTCCAGCCCCAACCTGACCTCACTTGCCGAATGGATCCATTCATTGTTTTCGTCTTTCCCCAATTTTACCCCCCCCCCCCGCGCCACCTACCCTTCCGTCCCGCTAGGCCTCTTTCCCACCCCCACCGGCCCTTTTTTCCAGCAACACCAAAACAAGTGTGCGGGTTCTTCTCTTCCCCGCTATGCCCATTTCCTGCCTCTCTAGGAATCCGCGCGCTCCTATCTTTTAAATCGTTACAGCTGTTCTCCATCGCCGCCCTCCGTTGTGTTCTCCAGCTGCAGATTCGTTCTTTCTGCGCTCTCTTTGCCATCTGGGCTAATCAGGATAGTAGCGATCAAAGGTCTGGAGGTTTTTGTTTTCCTTTTTAAGTGATTTAACGGAATAACAGAGTGGGAAGGGGCCTTGGAGGTCTTCTAGTCCAACCCCCCTGCTTGCTCATGCGTGAAACCCCTATGCAGGTAGTGCTCGAGTTACCACCCCAATTTTGAGCCCAAAATGTTATGTTGCTAAGTGAAATGTAGGTTTAAGTGAGGTTTGCCCCGTTTTACGACTTTTTTCACCATGGTTGTGAAAGTGAAGCATTCCATTTTGTGAAGTGAGTACATGGTTGTTAAGTGAACCTGGCTTCCCCCATCGACTTCTGATGGTCAGAAGGTTGCAAAAGGGGATTGCGGGACTCCTCCAGGGCGCTGTGACCATCATAAAACATGAGTCATTTGACAAGCATTTGAATTTGGATCTCACGGCCGCCGGGATGCTGCAACCATCATAAATATAGATTTTGATCTTGTGGCTGTGAGGATGCCGCAGTGGTGGTTCAGTATGAAAAACGATCGCAAGTCGCTTTTTCAGTGCCATCTGATGAAAGAAATGTCCTTCTGGGTTTGGCTCCAAGTGGGGAAAAAGACACGAGACACGGAGGCGGCTTGGAAAGATGGTTTATTGGTGGACAGCACCACATGGCTTGAGCCCTGAACAGAAAAGGTGAGGAGAAGGGAGGCCTGAGATACTGAGTCCCTGGTTTTATGCCCTCTGGCCTTTGATCTTGTATTCTGATTGGTTGTCAGACTCCCATGGAGCCATGCAGGGGCAACTCTCTAGNCCAGAGCGAGTCGCGTCCTGATTTTGGTTTCGATCTGGAGCTTGGACCTTTGAGAGCAGGCCTCAAAACTAGACCAAGTTGATCACTCGGCTTTCACAATCAAGGCATTTATAGGGTTGGTCCCCCATGGAGCGATTTCGGTAGGCAGGAAGGTTATTGCTAACCACAAAGCTTTTCCCGCACTCCGCGCAGATATAGGCCTGCTCCCCTGGGTGATCCCGCTGGTGCCTATCAAGGCTGCCCTTGCGACTGTAGCTCCTCCCGCAGTTCATGCACTTGAAGGGTTTCTCCCCCGTGTGGGTTCTCTGATGTGTAGTCAGGATCGACTTCAGGCTGAAATATTTGCCGCATTCCAGGCACTGATAGGGCTTCTCCCCCGTGTGGGTCCTCTTGTGCCTCTTGAGGCTCCCGCTCCGATTGAAGCGTATCCCGCACTCGGTACATTTGTACGGTTTCTCCCCCGTGTGGGTTCTTTGATGCGCGGTCAGAGTCCCGCTGTCGCTGAAGCTCTTTCCGCACTCGGTACAGCGATACGGCTTCTCCCCCGTGTGGGTCACCCGGTGCCGGTTGAAGTCGGATTTATATTTGCATATCTTCCCGCACACGGGACACTGGATCCTCCACTTCCCTTGGTGACCCTCCTGCGGGACCAGGAGATCGTGGATGTCGGCATCCTGAAAGGTGGAAGGTTTCTTCTCGTTCGTTGATGATTTGGGAGGCTCTTTTGGATTTAGGAAGGTCTCCTTTCCTGCTTCAGGGCTGGTTGTTTCTGATGACTCCATAGAGCATTCTTCGTAACTTTCAGTGTCCTGCCAATCACCTGGGGAAAGGGAAGGGAAAGGAGAAGATAAAAGGGAACGGAACAGAAAAAATGAAGGGAAGGGAAAAGAGAAGGAAAGACAAGAAATGAAGGGAAGGATACACAAGAGGAGTAGGGAAGAGAAGAGAAAAAATGAAGGAAAGGGAAGGGAAGAGAAAAATGAAGGGAAGGATAGAGAAGAAAAGAGAGAAAAAAGGGAAGGCAAGGGTAGAGAGGAGGGGAAGGGAAGGGAAGAGAAAAAAGGGAAGGGAAGGTAGAGAGAAAATGAAGGGAAGGGAATTGAGGGGAAAGGGAGGGAGGGCAGGACAGAGGGGGAGGTGAGGGGAGAAAGGAAGGAGAGAGAGAGAGAGAAAGTTAAAAGTTTACCTTTAACATTCCCTCCCTCTCTCAGCGAAAATCTAGGTTATCTCCCAACTTAATTTCAACATGTTTGCAGTCTATTTCGCATTTCACTGTACAGGTAGTCCTTGACTTACCAGTTTATTTAGTGACTGTTCCAAGTTACAAACGGCACTGAAAGAACAGGACTTTTGACCGTTTTTCACACTTACGACCGTTGCAGCATCCCCATGGTCACAGGATCAGAATTCAGATGCTTTGGCAACTGGCTCATATTTATGACAGTTGCATTGTCCTGGGGAGATGTGATCTGCTTTTGTGACCTTCTGACAAGTCAAGTCAATGGGGGGAATCCAGATTCCCTTAACAATCATGTGACCAACTTAACAAATCCAATGATTCACTTATCAATCATGGCAAGAAAATTTGTAAAATGGGGTAAAGCTCACTGAACAAATGTTTCACTTAGCAACACACAAATTTTGGGCTCAATTGTGGTCGTTACTCAAGGGCTACCTGTGTTGGAATTTTTAAACTGGAAGCAATCAGTCCGGGTTCACCTGGAGCATTTTTATCCCTTTTTTCATCTAATTGTCAATATCAGGGTTCCTCAATCTTGGCAACTTTTAAGCTACGCGGACTTTAACTTCCAGAATTGCCAGATGCTGGTTGACCACCTGTTGACTGGAAAATTCTGACAGTTCCCCATGCTGGCTGGGGAATTCTGGGAGTTGAAGTCCACACATCTTAAAGTCATCAAAGTGGAGAAAGACTGCTCTCTATGCCGCACACGGACAAGCAAGAGTTCATCACTTCAGCCTCCAACAATTGTGCAAGAAGCATCCTTACCCACAGAAGTGACAGTTTCATTGCTCTCCAACATGACTTCCTTCCATTGGGCCCTCTGGCTTTGATTTTGGAGAACAACCAACTTCTTCAGCCTCTAAGATCACCAGCCTCTAAAAAGAGAGGAAACATCAGTTTTCTCCTCTATATTACCGTATTGGTCCAGGACACCCCTCTGACTCAGCCAATCTTAGAATTTTTCTAGGCAGGTGGATGCATTTCCAAGCAAGTCTCTATACTTCTTTTTTTGAATTTTATTTTATTTTAATTGAACAAAAACACAGAAAAAGAATCATCCTTCATTACATCTTGTAGAAAGCGTGTCGATTGGTTACAGATAACTTTCGTGCATTTCTTCCAGTTGTTACTTATAGTTCCTATTAGATTATACACTTTAAGTCAAAAATCTTTGTATATCTTACTATCAATGTACCACAATTCTCATTTTAATACAATTATTTGA